TTCCTCGAGGGGCTGAAGAGCCGTGCAGCTGGAGCAGAGGAGCCGGGGCAGTGCAGAGACAGATCCCCTGGGGTGTCCAGTGGTGACAGGACCCCGCCTGGCTCTGCCCCCGCAGTGTCTGCTGATGAGCCCAGGCAGGCAGCTCCTGGAGACAGGGCTCTGTCCCGGGGAGAGGAGGAGGAAAGGCCACTTTCGCTCCGTAACGGGGCTCCGAGATTAAGCAGCAAGGAAACCACAAAACCAGACGACACAGGCAGGCCTGCGGGGCGATACGAGGACACGCACCGTCTGTCAGGCGCGCATGAGGCTAGAACACGTGTGTCTGCAGGCAGTTTAGATGGGGCTGAAAGAGATGCTTGTTCTGCGGGGCCGTGTGTATTCTCTGCTCCAGCAACGCGGGAAAAAAATCTGCTTCGGGGCGAGACTCTGAGTGGTTTCCCAGAGGCGCCCCAGGAGACGCAGGTGAAACCACACTGTTTCTTCAAGCGTGATTCCGCAGGAGGTCAGTCCGGGTCCGGGGAGACTCCCGGCAGCAAAGATCTCGGGAAAAGCGACATCCTCCCCCTGGAGGAAGGAGCCGGTCCGCGGTCAGCCGCTGGCCCTGCCGAGGCTTCTGAAGCGGGACGAGAGGAAGTTACACGGGATGCCCACCAGCGTGACACACGCCAGGGTTCACAGCCGAGTCCAGAGAGGCAGCCGGCGGGGATCGCGGCAGCCCTGGGTGAACAGCTCGGGACCGACGAGGGAGAGCGCCCGCCACCCGTGGGTGTTTGGGATTTGCAGCGGAAAGCCAGCCCTTCCGAATCCGCAGAGAGAGCGGACTGGGAGAGCCGGGGTTCGCCTGGAGCTGCAGACAGGTCGCTCTCACACCCGCAGACTGCTTGCATGTGTTGTTTGACAGCCGATGGGCTGGCTACAGAGAAGACTGTCTCCACAGAGGTGCCTGACCACACACTTTCCTCCCATCCCACTGGACTGGGAGTGTCTTCCACCACAGGGCTCTGGAAGCTGCAGTGGGAAGGCAGGTTTGACGATCAGGAAATGGACGATGGACCTGACTCATTGGCACATTTGGAGGATGGCAAAATGACGCAGAATGCAGCTTACCTGTGTGGCCCAGGAACAGGTGACATTAATGTGAACAGCAAGAAACCTGCAACAGAGCCTGTCCAGCCATCTGCGACAGCAGGTGTGAGTCCTGAAGACAACTCGCATGGTACCGACGCCAGCGACCATTCCCCCACTGGGCCAGGGCATTCAGTCCCAGAGTGCACCACACCTGAGAAATCAGGTGACCAAACATGTTTAGAAAGCCTGATCCATGGACTCACTGTGGGGAGAACTAAAAACTTCTCGGTCTTTCCTTTGAGGTCAGGAGAAGCCGAAGAAGGCGGCTCTGGTCACGGCTCATTTCTGACTCTCAGTTCTTCCAGCACAGGCCGTGTTGCACCTGAGCAGGACAGCAACGTTTCAGACTTGTTAAACATTGCGCTGCGTTGTGAGCCAGCGCAAGCAGAACCAGCTGCGCTTGCTGCAGAGGGTTGTGTTGAAGGGGGATGTCTACAACTGCAGGAGATCTGTGGCGAGGAAGCACAATCCAAGGACCACTGCGCGGCTCCAGATCCCAGCCCTGATGTCACACTGGAGCCTCACACTGAAAGCAGCACAGGAAATGGGTTTCCTGGGAATGGGCCCTTGGCAGCAGACGGAGAACTGCACAGTACAGCCCTGGACCAGGTGTGCCCAACACACCCTCCACAGGTCCGGGCCATCTCCGCTTTCTGGGAGGAAATGGAAAAGCTGACGATAAATGACATCCTGTATGTCAAGTTGAGGAGTAACGGCCAGCGGGGTCCAG